CAAAAATTAAGGTATAATAACCCAGGTCTTTTTCTCTTCTTATCGTGGTTTTTGTGGTACCAAAAATGAAGCTAAGGGAACGGTCATTTATTAGAGGGGAGAGGGGGCACTGGGCTGGTGCATTTTCATTTCCAATGGCATATTTTCTTGTGGCCCTGTTTTTTCGAATGCATAAAGTAACGTGGCACCAGCAAGAATGAGAACATAAAATAATATGACCCACTCCCAACTCAGACCCAACCCGGGACCAAGAGTCTTGAAACACGTCGATTTCCTTCGCTATCTTGCAACTTCACCCCTGATGATAGGTCCAARATAGCCTGGCCGCTAAGTCTAACATCCATACACATTCGGTAGTACCTACACATGAGCTCATCATACAAATTTACAAGCAAATTATTCTTCAATACATCATATCAACACTGCCCCCTCCACTCGTGCCATGGTCATATGCAGCATATTTCCCCCATTCCCTGTGTTACCTTCAAATTAATCCTTACAAATTTAATATTTTCCTACATCTCTTCCAATCTACAATATTCATGAGTCTTTTACATCGACCAAATATAATAATAACCAAGATTGATTTGTCTTATCCCCTTGGTTATCGTGGATCGAAAAATGAAGCGAAAATAACCAAGCTCCATTCTTTTTGGCCAAAAATATACATTTTTGATTGTCTTTGAAATGTACCAAAATGTATACATCTACTTGCAAGAACGTTGTCATACGAAAATAGAACATTAGTGATTTAGTGGGATAGGAATTATATTAAAAAACAAAAGAAGATCACTGAAGCTGAACTTTTTCTTTTGTCTTTTAATGTGTTCCTATTCCACTAAATCACTAATGTTCTATTCTTGTATGACAACCTTCTTGCAAGTAGGTGTAGACTTGAAAAAATACCTTTTGGGATTGTATCTGTATTAAAATTTGATGGAGATGTAGTATTTTTGGACATGCATGAGGGAAGCTTTATGTTTTATGGGCATGGAGGGCTAGTAGGATTTCTTATGACTGGTAAGAAGAACAGATGTATGACGCCTTACGAAGCATAATTTTTTTGACATGACCACCGATTAAAACAGCATAAATTTTCTATTTAGCTTTTCTTTTTTTTGGGGGGGAGGTGGGCCCCCTTTGAAATGTATTTTTTTATGTCCCCCCCACCCCCTCCCTAAAACCGACAAACCCCTCCCCCAATGCCTGTAAAAAAAATGAAAGGTACCTGATTTAGACAAAACTTTATACACAAATAAGGGACAACATAATTCAATGATTCCAATGATTTTTAATAGTGGTTTTTGTAAAATTTAAAAGAACTGGTCTCTGCATATAAATATTATTAATTTATTTTCAACTTTTTGGTATCTTTTCAAACTTAGCGGAATTCAGCTTTCGCTTCATTAATGGTGTAAAAAAGGAAATACRAGATTGATTGTCTTTTCGCTGTTGTTGTTGAAATTGAGGAAGTTTCAGCGAGAGTGAATACACTAATTTGAAGAGTGCTGATAGTTAAAATTTAGTTAGCCACCATCTTGAAATGCAGCAGGGCCTATGATTGAAACCGAGTAGGGACTGGAATCTTTTTTTTTGTGTCTGTGGCCTTGTCACATTTCAAGAAGCTGTCACTTGATTTAATTGGTTTGTAGGTATACCTACGAGACAGTATTGCCTAACAGGATTTAACACGTTCAATGTTCATGCAACCGTTACAGCACTCTAAAGACCAATAAGTTGAATCAAGTGTTACATTTAAATTAAGTCTGTGTAAATAATCAAATAATATATTTTAGCTGGACGATCTAGTATTTATCACTTTCTAGTACCTAGGGCATGCTCAAATTGTAATACTGAAAGGCCCTGGAGACCAGAAAATAATTCACAAAAATAAACGAAAAATCTAGAACAATCTATAAGAACTGATGTTTATTTTTGTCAAGTGATGGAATAAATAATATTTTACAGATTGTAATAGATTTAGCTCTTTCATTTGGTTTTTAAGTGACGTCATTAAATTAGAACCGGAAATACGTCATCACTTAAAAGCCCAACCCTCAGCTGACCATTTATCCAATCAGGAGGTTTTCTTCTTAAATATGCTATTTCTCTTTCTTTTCGCAAAATATTTTACCATAACAAATTAATCTACGTTTTAAAGCAATAAAATCATGATTTCTAAACTTTATAATAAGCATTACTCTTTTAAAACCATGGACGTGAGAGACTGGCTGCAAATCTTTTTAAAAATTTCGCACCAAGGCTCTTACATTCCTTGTACAAAGCGAAGGAATTAATCTGGATTTAAATAAATAATATAAAATAATGATCTTCTTAGTTTAATATAAAATAGCATATAGACTATACATCCTTTAAACTTTCTTCTTTTTCATTTCATTGTAAATTATTTGTATTTTTAATTCATTGTGGTATTTATCATTATTTAACTGAATTAGTATATTTTTTAAGGTTGATAAACCTTGACCCAGGCTGTTCTGATGTACAGGCCGAGCAAGAACGGGACTTTATGAAATTGTAAGATATAGACCAAATTCAAAACTTGCACCAATATGAGGCTTAAGTTGTGAACAAAGGGATCTGGCGTGACTCAAAGTAATCTGGCGTGATTCAAAAGTCACGAATCATGCCAGATTCCTTTGTTTACATATTAAGCCTCACATCGGTGCGAGTTGTGGTCTATAACTGTCTCGGTCACAGTAGTCTCCACAATAGCTTTGCCGACTCATATCGCAGTCAAGGCTATACATTACATGAATAAAATTGCAGAGCCAGATTGAAAAAGTAAAATTTGACTTGAGCAAGTCATTCAATTTACTGTTTACAGATTTTAGGAATCCATGTACTTACTTATCTATCATTTAAGCTTTAGGGAAAGTCATTTTCCTATCGACTTTCCTCTTTTTTAAAGTTTTTTTTTTGTTTTGCAGCCAGCTTGCAAAAGCGTAATAAATTGATGCCTATATRTGCAAATTATATAACATTTTAAGGATTATAATACACTGTGTGCATTTTGTACATAAAGAACTGCAATATAAAAATAATTTAATCTGCATTTGGGTTGTGTAACGAGACTTTTCATTTGATTGACAGCTAAGCTTGATGTTGATTTGTTTAAGGATTCGGCTAATGGGTTTCCTGTGGTAAAGTTATGGCATAGGGGGAATGGGCTAGTAGTTAATTAAACTACTCGACAAACATCTTCATGCAGGTTGATGCAATGAGATGAAATGTTTAAATTTTTACATAATTATCAATTAGTAAGGATAAGTTTTGGAAACTACATCAAGTGCTTTGCTCTTATGAAAACCAGTTTCCCTCATCCATATCTTACTACAGGGAACCCACAAATGTAATTAAAGTAAATCAATTACTTGTCATAAACTACTTTTTTTAAAGGCTCCCAATAATCCTTAGAGAACCATTATTTAAGAGTGAAGAGTCTTGTAACAACAACTTGGTAGCTTCTATTCGTCACGGATTCAATTAAATACAGTGGTTATAGAATTAACTAGAAAAGCCAGCAAAAAATGCCTATGTATGCAATTAGCGCTTCTAAGAGGATTTACTCATTTAAGTTGGTGTTCAGATAATTTAGTGTAGTCATAGATATTAACTATGGTGTAGCAGATCCTATGAAATTGAAAACAAGTGCACACCTTGAAGTACAGGAAAACAGATATCTGGTTCAACAAGCATGGTATCAGCAAAGCAGCGATGTAAAGAGCTCCTGTTGCAGACACTAATGTTGATAGCAGATTGTGGCAGGTCCAACAAACATTCAGGTTTTCTTCTCCTTAGTTCTAGTCATAAAAAGTGTCCCTGATGTGGTTGCTTAGCAACTAAGTTTCTGCTACACGAGCTACTTTATTCTTGAATTAGCGGGCACTAGTCAATTATCTTAAGCAGACAGACAGACAGACCATATTTTGTTGAGCCAGAGTATGTTACTTCAAAGGTGCACTTGGCTACTCATCTAAATTATTCACACTATGGACTGTTAGCTGAATGAGAGACAGACACACAGACTCTATACTTGACTAGACATTCTATGACTGACGTAGTGCAGATATATTCACAAAATGTTACAAGACTCATTGTTTTTCAAGTCATAAATTCAAAATAATTTGAATATATGTTAACATTGAAATTCAGAGCTAAGAATGTAAACTTGATAGATTTTCTCATCGGAGTGCCTAATATTGTATTTAGTTACATCATATATACTCATTTGGTGCTGAATTCTTACAAAATGCTTTCTGTGAATGCCATAGTCATGTTTGATTATTTCCGCAGTGAGAGAAAAAAGCAAAGATTCAGCTAGTCCCAGTTTCTTCTCTTTGCTCATTCTTTCGCCTGGGTACCATGTCTCTTTTGGTCTCAACCTAAAGGGAGGGGACAGATGGTTCCATTTGCCACTGGTATTTTTAATTGGCTAATAAAACATGTTATGAAAACCATGGGAATATTATGCCCCATGAATGTTTTCCCCCGTGACTGGTTTCTCAGAAATCTGGGACCACTGTCTCCTTACTTTCAACTCACCACTGCTCAGAGTTGTACAAAAATAATTCAACAGTAAAGTGTGTAGATAGAGATTAAATGTTTTAGTTTTGGAACTCACCCAGCCTCGTGCTTTATTACTGGTTTTAAGAGAACTGGTTTCCAAATTATGCTTCTACTGTGCATGCGTTACAACCATGTGCAAAGTGGAATTATTTGGATTCTGGTATTGCAGACAGCAAAGTTATGGAGAGTAGATTTCTTCAACTAGTAATAATTTAGTTGACTAGAAAGATTTCATTTTCATAGACTGATAACGTGCTTTGCAGTGCACCAAACCCTGGGCACCCATGCCTTATGCAGACATCACAATGAAGGCATTGCCCAAGGGATGAAAATGTCTTTCAACTCAATAAAAATTTGATCTTTGCATATGCATGTTGTAAGCTTGGGATCTGGGCAGGTGTGACAACAAAGCATGTATGGATTGTGAGTCACCAAATCTAGTGTAGTTTCCCAAATCATCCCCTAATGCTTTGCAGTCACAACTCGAATCCAGGTTCGCATGACGAAATGTTTGATTTTTATTCTCCTCCAAACAGTTTCCAAAGAACAAAATTCAACAAATTTCTAAAAAAATCGGAACTGTTTGCAATCAGTTGATTTTGACCAACTATTTTGGTGCGGAATATTCCATAGCAGTCTTAGTCATAATTTTGGTTTTGTAAAGAAAAAATTAGAAAACTGCTTTAATTGCTTTGTTAAGAAAAATATTCATAGATAGTGGGGAAAATCTCATCCAAATCAGAAAAAACAGAAAAATTGTGAGACAAAAAAGAGCGCACTGTCTGGAAGCTAAGTAAACCTTTTCTTACCAACCACATGGAGATGGATTACTAATTATCCAATCAGAATCCATAGACTATAATAAACCAATCATCCACTCACAAAGCTTAGCATCCTATCGTCACGGTAACAATGCCACGAGCATGTGGATATTATAAACATCGATACACACACTCCTTATAATCTACTCTATCTTTAGATATTAATAGGTTGGTTTAAAAGGTTGAAGCATAGTCTTATCTTGGTATGACTACAGAGTGCTCTCCGTATTTCTGCAAAAACATGATGCATTGTGGTCTAGCTTGGATACAAACCATACCATATAAGGTTGTGAGTAACAAAATATATAAGTACCCAAGCTAGACCATGATGCACCATGTTCTGGGACCTTATCTCGAGACGTCAGGGCTTCTGCATTCTGCCAATCAAGAAATTACTAACAGTTATGTCAACTTGATGGACTAAAACCAAGAAAGTGTGTCACCCCTCGAGTTGTCTGAATTGCAGAAATATGAAGGGTACTCACAGCATGGATTTTTGAAACATTATCACATTACAGGTAAAAGCATAATTCTCATATGAACTAAGGATTCTAAGAATATCAAAATTATGACTAAGATTCAATAATTATCGTAATATTCCTCTACCGAATGCATGGGAAATTATCCTCTAGTAAATATGTATATTATTATTCTTTCTACTTCCCTGAAAATACGTCAGCCCATTGATCAGTTCTTGTCCTTGTATTGGGAAACTTGGAGGCCCTATCTTGTAGAACTTGAAGATGCTGAGGGAGAGGCATGGTAGTATTTGCAGTTTGATCTCGTACACTTTCCTTTACTGGCATCCCGGCATATCGTTACATGTCCATTTACAACTTCCACATTTTCTGGTAGGAAGAATTCAAAGCATCCATGTGAAATACAAAGGGAAAATACTCTGGAGAATATGCTGCTGAAGGCTGCGAAACACCCATGTCAATGCCATGGATTCATAAAGTTATCATAGTTCACTAGGACCGCTAAAACTTGTGTGAAAAAAATCCGATTCTGTAGAACAGTGAAGATGAAGTTAGAATTCTATGCAGAACGATGAAAGGTGTTCTTCAAATGGATTTTTGCACTCAAACTAAAGTTCAGTTTCTACAAGCTTAAAAATTCAAAGTCCTGGTTATTTCAGTTGCATTGAAGTTTGGACCCAAAGTCAGTTATTTTGTTAATTCTGAACACTGCACTCGGAAAAAGGATGGTAAGATACTGCAAAAAGCTTTAGTAAAAGTTGAAATGAAATAGCATCTGCCTCCGACCGAAATGATGATGCTGATTTGCTCTGGTTAACTCTGAAGTTGGGGGCACGAAGCCAATGGTGCTTTCCAATAAAATCCAACCAATCTGTTGGGCAGCCAGTTCTCAAAATGGTATGCGTCAGTTCTTAGAACCAGTTCTGAGAATTGATGTGTACCAGTTGAATTCTGGGTGCTCAGACCATTGCCGGGTTCAATTCAACGGAAAGCACCCTAAGTTGTTGCATTTAATCTTACTAGAGGAAAGGAAAAAAAGGGAGGGCTGCCTGGGCATCCACACCCTATAAAAAATGGCTATACAAGGCAAAGAGGTTTTCAAGGTTTGAAACTTAGAGTATATGCAATTCTTATTGGATTTTCCCTATGAATGTGGAAAGTGCTGAAAACATAAAAACCTCAAAAGAAAACTTCTCTTTGCTTTGAGAATCATGAGTCAAAAAGCTGCAATTCGTGATGAGTATATGGCAAAAAGGGTTCTATATTTAATCAGTTATAGGCCTCGCCCAAGATTTTTCATTACCCTTACCCTCCCATGAAAGGGGCAGGACACAATTTCCTCAGAATATCAATTATTCAAAGAGGTCAAAAATGTCAAGTTCAAACATGGTAAGGTCAAACATGATTATATATTCATTTACTGTGATAGCTTGGGTATGACAATCTTTTATCTTGCCTTATCCTTTGTCAAACTCAGAAAAGACCAATGACCTCAATCAACAGGGGGTAAGAACTGTCAAAACAGGCAAAATATATCATGGTGGATCTGGAAAGGAACCTATATCATACCACATTTTTGGCAAATATGGCTGTTTTACTTATACAGGTTTGGCCTCGTTTAAGAGCAAATCATTCCAAAAGTCAATGAATAGGATGTGCAACTTCAACAATATTTGTCTTAGGATCCTGCAAACTTTGAATAAGTATTTATAAATAGCTGACTTGAACGAGGCTAAACCTGTATGAGCCGGCAGTCTTGAAAAGCAGCCGCATGAATATAATCATAAGAGGAATTTCCAATGCAGCTCTTGACTCATGAATTAAAAAGCAAAGAATGCCGCAGCATTAAGATTTAAAACAAACAATAAATAACTCATCTGGTCAAAAAATAAGGCTTACTGGTCCTGTGTCCATAGTGAAGCCTGTCTTCCATGAGCCAGTGCTGTGAGCAGCCAGCGGCAGCAGCAGGTGCAGATGAATGYTTTACATTAACTTTGCACATTAAAATCTACTTAAAAGTGCAGCAAAGCTAGAATGAGATTCGAAAAGAAACTACCAAAGAATCATACAAGTTTCTGCCTTGGGCAACGAATGAGATATATTGATTTCTCAGCTTTGATTTTATCTGTATGTATGCTTTTTTTATTGTTTGGGATGTTTTTTTTTTTTGGTTAATGTTTGTCATTAAGTAGGTATGTTGGTTGGTAGCTTGTTTCCTAGGCCTGTGAAAAAGATTTTTAATGCTAAACTGTTCAAAAGTTGGCAACTTCAACACATACTCCATCGACACAATTTTCTGAGTGTTTTCCATCCCTTTATAAAACTGATTGTTGTCTTAAAGAACAGCAAAGAGAAACAAAGGAATATTTTAAAAAGGCTAATACATTTCTCCAGGCTTTTCTTTACTTTCCGCATCTTATAGTGTTTTCTAAAGAGAAGTCTTTTTAAAAAGATTCCTAAAACATCGACAGTAAGAATGAGCGACTTCTTGAACCCTATATGGTATCAATGCCTATATTTTGACCATTTTGCAAGATTTCAAGTCTTGTAATTTTTATTGAACTAGGATTTTAAGAGAGATACTACAAAATTAATACTGTCGAACCATCTTTAAAAAAACATTATTCCATGGCGACATCTTTCAATACAAGTCATAAAACAAAACAGTTTTAAAAGCAAAACTTGAGAATGATCGAATAACTTTAAGGAAATGCATAACAGATGCATGGGTGTCTCCGTAAGCAGCAATCAAGCATATTGTGATGATGGTTTCATTGACCCTAAACTGTTTATCCAATGTGTATGTAACACCATAAGGATTACAGTCAGGTCAGGAAGTACTCTTTTTTTGTGTGTCATCTTTATGTCCCCACCTTTTTGAACCAAGGAAAGTATGGTAGTTGCACCTTTTGTAAGTTTAACCATGTAAATTGGAGCAAATACAGCCAATCATAGTGTTGAGACTGGGTCTATAAAACCACCATCTAGAATAAACAGCAAGCATCTACTACGAACAGACAACAGACATGTAAAGAGCTAGCAAGCAATCTGCTTACAGTGTGAATTTAGCAGTTTCCATGACAATAAGCACACTGTTTGCCAATGGTCTTAGAATACCAAGAACCACTAGAAAAATTTTCAACATGTATTTCAAATAGCACCAATGAAGTGAAATTCCAAAAAGATGTTTAAATAGACGTCATTGGTTGTGGTGTAATGTTTTCCCATTTCAGACCACGTGTCCCTAGAGAATAAGATTCTTTGTTTGAGTCATATTGATTTGTCTTCTCATGCACAACTGTTAAACAGAGAAATGATCCTCTAGAGAACGAAACAGTCTGCATTGGGAAAACATCGTACCACAGCAAATTAGGTCTAATACCATGAAAAGTGAGCATAGGTTGATTTCATACTTTGGTGGTGCTTTTGGTTTTTTTTTTTTTCAAAATGATAGAAATATTTTTGTGTGCTGATTCTCTCTGGTTGTGCCACAGCTAGAAGACTGCCAAGCAAACATGTGCATGATTATCAAGCAGCAAGCAGCAAATGCTTGTCTACCCAGACCTTTCATCTACCTGTCAATCAAATTAAACCAGCCACGCCCTGAATTAAACATGCTAATGACTTCAGTCATGGGGTATCCCATAATGCAAAGTTCTTTTAAAGACAAATTCTCTGATTGGTCAAAATAGTCATTACTTCACTAATGTGTAACAGCTGCCAATAAGCATCCAGCATCAATAAAAGTCTAACATCAGTGATTGCCAATGGATAACTTTTCTCAGGTCTGGATTACTCAATCAGAAATTGGATAATTTTGGAATTAAAAAGAGCAGAAATCTTCAGAATTTTTTAAATATTAAATACGAAAGGGATTCACTTGCAAGGCAATAACTAAAAATTTGGTTTTTTTTTCTAATTTGTGGCCTGTAAAGCTTTGATACACATAAACAGCCTTGAAAGAAAGGTCTACTAAAAAGGTCTAAAAAACTGCAAAATTTTTGGTGGCTGGTGAAAAGGGATAGCAAAGTTTGGAAAAGGTCTGGGTAGTCAAGACAACAAAGCAACAGCAAAATAGAAATGGTATGCTCACTGTCTGTTATGTGGGCATAACGACAGGCTTCCCTGTGGCACTGGCCAGAGCTAAAGTCCCGACAAACAGGCAACGTTTGCTGTTGAAACAAAGAAAAACAAAAATATTCAGCTTCTGGAAGAAATTTATATCTAAATAAAACCCTGAAAGCAAAAAGAATTAAGCAATTTAAAAAGCATGAAAACCAACTTGGAATATGATTGTTCTTCCATTTAGAATTGATCAATTAATGAAACTTATCAAAAACATGACAAGCTGGAAGAATTTTTAGGGTGTTCAATCTCTGGAGCCTTTGGATGGAAATTGGATGGGAAAAGTGAAGTGAAAAGAATGAAAAAGTGTAAGGATGACACCTGTTGAACAAAGATGAGTCAATTTTCAACCTGTTTGGAAAAATACAAAATATATCAAAAAACAGCATTGGTTTAAAATGTTAACAGAGCTGTTCTTACAGATTGAGGTTGCTTTAGAAGAGAAAAACATTAATGTTGAAGAAATCAAGCTGCAAAGCAAAAATATCTCTTGCAACAAATAACATAATAGAACTTTTGGCAGTTTTTAATGCTCTTTAGCCAGCAATTTCTAAATGAATTTCAGACAAAAAAAAGGCAAAGTGCACTTGGGAATTTTACAATATTTTCCTCTCATTTACTTTGATTTTTTTTTTAATGTCTCACTAACTGTTCTGTTGTTGTTGGAGAAAAATAATCGTCTTTGAAGCAAAAATTGTTTATAGCAGGTACGTGTATAAGGTAAGGCAGAACAAGTACACAGGCATCTAACCCAAGAGTTCTTTTGAGAATGCTGGTCAAAAGCAATATCCAACATCACAGAGTTGAAAACATTTGCATAGAAATTTCTTACTTAGTGAGAACTGATTCAAAAGTGCTTGAATATGAGGGTACAGGGGGAGTTGAAATCTATTTTTCCAGTCAAATGCATGGCTGCTGCATGAAAAAAAGCATTCACTATAGGGCAAGACACTTTGAAAGCCATTAATGAAATCCTCTCAAAATTATCTTGGATGTTAGGCTATCACCAAAATATGAAGGAAATTAATCACATAAACCCTAGTCAGTTTAGATGCAGCAGACGAAAAAAGTTTTCTAAGCCTTCCCATCCAATGCTGCTACACTGACTTAGGTTGTTGTAATCAACACACAAGCGCCATCTGAACCAGTAACTACTAGTCATTAACAGAATTGGTGTTGGCATCACATTTAAGATAATTTCGATGGGTCCTATATTGTTAGCTGTTTTAACAATACTTGAACATTTAGTTTTTAAGAAATTGCTGGCTAAAATATACACTGTTTAACCAAAACTACCAAATCACCATCAGATTCATTAAAACAAGAAAACCATTCTTTTTTCTGTGACCTGATTTAATCAACATGCTTCTAGAATATTCAGTAACATGATTATCAGTCTTTGTAAGAAAGAAATTTTGTGATTATATTTAAATTTGTTGCAGAAAACTGAAATTTAAGTGATGCTTAAGGGAGTGGAATACATTGTTACATCTTGCACATCTAATTATAAAGTCAAGCTCAAAGCCGACAACCCATGCCGAGGGAAACTACTGCTAAGTGAAATTTTCAGCAAAAATTCGTATTAATATTGGTTTAAAAAATCGAAAAGAAATTTGGCCAGTTTTTCTGCCTCGAGTCAAGAAGCACATTTTATTTTAACTTCAGTTGATAGAATTCTGGGATTGATCACTTAAACTTCATTTTTCTGATTTTACTGTATTTTTTTCTTTTCTTTCACTTGTGTGAGTGAGATACAAAAATTGTAGTTTTATTATTACTTTGTAATAACTTCAGCTGTGTTCTTTTTTTTGTTATCCATACAGCAATTTCAAAATTTTGGCTTATTCTTTATTATTTTCATTCATTTATACTTCATCAAAAAAATCATTTCATGGTATAATTTTTCCATTGTTTTGACAAATAAAATAATTCGAAGACTCTTCCATTGTGTTTTAAACCATGCATAGTACATATTCTAAGATCAATTGATGAATTGCAAGCATTCCCAAGAGAATCAAAAGACAAAGACATGGCAGCCATCATGGCTCCATTAACAATGGATGCTAATGAGAAATCTTTTGTTAAATGGCACCAACATGGCCACACTGACGTAACATGCAATCAAAGAATTAAATACTCTTAATAGCATGATAAAATTGTACCAGGGCAGGCTGCAATAATCATTTATTAAATTTTTAACAATAATTCAATTCATCATACTGAATATCTCTGGTTGATAGTTTAAAACAATTCATTTTTTAAACTTTTCTATTAAGTACTGCAACAGTAGAAAAAATCGATATGTGCTATGCATAGTAGAACACTTTTGAATTGTCCTTTAAATATCTTATTCAAATCAGCCATGATTTTTTTGAAATTGCTGTATTCATAACCATATCTTTCAAAGTATTTTTGTGAAATAAGTAATTGCTACAAATAATTTAATATGCACTTAAAGTACAAATTAATCAATTGGTAATATAAAAGGACTAAGCTACATCGTAATAATCTTAGAAGTACAAATYGTTGGTAAAATCAATAAATAGATTTAATCATGTTTTCATATATAGAAAATTCTCTCTCATTCTGTTCCTTCAATTGATATCATTTTTTATTTGGTGAGATTATTTAATTAATTATTATTAATAATTATGGCATTAGAATTGAATTAGAGAATGCTTGCCCTGTTACAGATTTGTTTGTCCAGGGGAGGGGGGTGGGGGCAACATTCCAGAGAGTCAGTTTCAAACTTTTCGGCAAGCACCCCTGCCATATTCATAATGCGGAGGTATACCCAAGAATTTCTTTCCTGGTTTAAAAATAAAGGTGACAGTACTTCAGGGGGTAATGGTAAAAAACATGAATACCCAAACTAAAAGCTTTAGAGTTTAATTGAAGTCTTTGCATTTTGTTAAAAGTTGCTTCAGTCGAGGTGGTTGTCCAAATCGATCGAACAAACAGGTCTATTTGGCTGAAAATTTGGAACAGATTCTTTGTGGAAGAGAAAACTTTTATCAAGTTTTGCTCGCGTATTGTATGCAAGCACACTGTGATCGCGATCAAATCGTGAACATCAATAAAGAAAGGTGCGAACAAATTGCGAGCAGATCGTGAGCACTCTGTGCGATCAGCTCGCGATCTGCTCACGTAAAAAAAACGTGATAAATGTGCACGTTTCTGGGCTGTACTGTAAGTTCACCCTTTTTTTCTGGAACCAGAAAAGTGTAACGAGGCAAACATTTTCTAGATGAAGTTTACATGATACAATGTCTTGTATTTTCTGACCAATTTATTAATCATAATTATTAATTTTATATTACAGTTCATTGTATAGTTATTAGTTTAACCAGTATTACGTTAGGTTTTTTTCTATTAACAGGATTTCATTGAGGTGGAAATTCTTGCACTTATAAATTATGGGTTCACATTGGATCAACTAAGCACATAAAGGATGAAGAACATTCAAGTGAAGGGAAGCATCCTAAATAAGATATAGCATTAAGGACAAAAAGATTCAGCACACAGGGTACAAGACAAGGAACATGGGTTACAGGGAAAATGTACAAGACATAAGAGACCACATATGAGGTGTGTGTGAGCAGAATGGAATACGACACATGAAAGGTTATAGTATACAGAGCATAGAACATGCACTTGGGTAAAGATTTCAGGACATGGATTACAGAGGAAAGTTCGAAAATCGTTGTCACACCAAGAGCCTCAAGTAACAAGCCAAGGCTCCAGAGAATGTCGGTACTTTTAATTATATAATTGATTTATTCATGGTTCATGCAAGTGGCTATAGCTCTACACTAATTATCATCTCAAGCAGCCTTGCTTGGAGCAATTTGTGAAGTCAATAAATAAAAATGTACCATGACCAAACTAATTACACCTAAAAGTACTAGTGTTCTCTCTGGTCTTTGGCTTGTTGCTTGAGGCTTTGGTGCAACAATGATTTCTGAAATAGGTGTATAATGAGAATACGATAGGGACAGGTCACAGGACATGGTGCAGAGAGCAAAGGTTAAAGGTTACAAAGTGAAAGACATGTGGAAAAGCATGCAGAGCACAAGATACAAAAAAGGAGAGCAACAACTACAAAAAAAAGTAAAAGTACAGGCCACAAAAAGAAAGATTTGCATAATTACGCCCACATCTGAAATACATCTACTCGGTAATTATATTTATGTTAAGATCATTTTTTCCTACCCAAATGAAATCCATGTTACTGCACACAAACTAGTGAATTTATTGGATTAGTTGATGATGAGTCATGAACTGAAGGATATTTAATTAATTAGATAAATAAGAGTGATGAGATAATATTACACAATATTTATATTATATTCTAATAGTCACTTATTTTACTCAAGGTTACCATGCCCAAGTGTGAAATGTTCCATCATTCTGTAAAATTCCATCTGTCTTTCTGCGACTTTTCTTAGTTTTTTCCTCCTCGTACCGCAACTTTTGTCCATATATTTCTAGTCCAGAGTTACACAAGGTGCCTCATTGACTCCTCCTCGTCACCTCTTTTACCTATATCTGCTATATTTCATCTTTCTGTCAACCATTTTTTTCAGTTTCTTTCCAGAGCAACCACACCAAACTTGGATAACCTTTCTATCTAGATGCTGCTGCATGTGTAGTAGTGACAACAATGGATTACTTAGTCCAGAAGAGCTAACAAAAATGTGGAATCTTCTTAATTTCAGTCTGAATAGACTCAGAATTTTTTGTCAAGATTCCAGGGCCACGGCAATCTCTAACTAAGTTACGAAGTTGCATTTGTGCTTTAATTTTCTACCATTGATGGTAAGAGATCTTTCTAAGGAACCTTAACACCTTAGAAGAAATGATCACCTTCCTCAAGATTGCCATTCATTCACTCCCAATTCCAGCTTGGGACACTCCGCATACTGTCAACATGCAACACCTAGTTCGTATAAGCACCAGGGTCAACTGGAGGCCCTGGAGCTAAGGTGTAGTAGTACCCATTATACCCATTATACCCATTACAGTACTGCATGTCGTTACACTGCCCCTGAGGGGTGAGCATCTGGTACTGATATGGTTCATACATTGGTTGTGGTGGAGAGGGAACCTGCGGCTGATGAAATGTCTGAGGTTGAGGTGGTGACATATTTTGAGGAGTAGGAGGTGGTGTTGCCATTTCCACGGGCATATAGTTAGCAGATGGCACTTGCTGCCACTATTGGGACAGGATGACCAAAGATCACAATATTAGAAAATAATGACTGTATACTGCTACCTTAAAGATACTTAATGTAACTTTATACCAAACAGTAAAGAATATCTAGTGAATAACACTAAATAAATGAATAGTTGGTTTTTACTCAAAGTTGAGATCGCTCCTGACCATTATTAATAATAACAAAGAAAATTCTTAATTTGATAGTAATGATTCATGGGCTGGACTGAATAAACTCATGTTAGAATTTCAGAAAGAGGCCTCACCCTGCCACCTCTGATTGTTTTTCCTTAATAAATAGGACATGGAATTCTAGTATCATGAAGATTGTCTCAATCAGTTGCAATGGTAGTGGAAACTCTCAACAATTGTGAAATTGGAGAGGAATAAGAAGGAGTAAAAAGGAATGTTTTTTTAATAAAGTAGAGTGCAAGTCTGATAGACCTGCTAGTCACGTGACAGATGTAATGGCATGAAAACCTGCATGAGATATAATAGACCTGCCCAATAGCATGATAAACAACAAGTCATGCAGCAGCCCTGCAGGCCACATGGCAACTTATATATATCACTTGATCTGCTGGTGACATGACAGACCTGCACATTAAATGACATCACTTGACCTCACATGACATCACATCACATCACCTGACCTCACATCACATGACCTCATTTGACATCACATGACCTCACATGACATCACATCACCTGACCTCATGACATCACATCACATGACCTCATATGACATCACATGACCTCACATGACATCACATGATCTCATATGACATCACATCACATGACCTCACATGACCTGCTGGCTATATGACAGACCTGCACATTACATGACATCACCTGACCTCATATGACCTCACATGACATGACTTCATATGACATCACATGACCTGCTGGCTACATGACAGACCTGCACATCACATGACATCACCTGACCTCACATGACCTCATATGACATGACATGACCTCATATGACATCACATGACCCCACATGACATCGCATCACATGACCTCACATGACCTGCTGGCTACATGACAGACCTGCACATGACATCACCTGACCTCACTTGACCTCACATGACATGACATCACATGACATGACTTCATATGACATCACAACCTGCTGGCTACATGACATACCTGCCCATCACATGACATCACCTGACCTCACATTACATGACCTCATATCACATCACATCACATGACCTCACATGACCTTACTTGACCTCACATGACATGATATCACATGACATGACCTTATATGACATCACATGACCTGCTGGCTACATGACAGACCTGCACATGACATGACATAACCTGACTTCACATGACATGACATCACATGACCTCATATGACATCACATGACCTGCTGGCTACGTGACAGACCTGCACATCACATGACATCACATGACCTGCTGGCTACGTGACAGACCTGCACATCACATCACATCACATGACCTCATATGACATCACATGACCTGCTGGCTACATGACAGACCTGCACATCACATGACATCACCTGACCTCACATCACATCACATGACCTCATATGACATCACATGACCTGCTGGCTACRTGACTGACCTGCACATCACATGACAAAACCAGGGAAATAATTAACTGCCTAGGAATGCATCATTATGGGGGGTTCAATTAGCATCTCAGGATAGAAATACTTATCATAATCAATCATAATTATTAACTATTAATGATAGTATAATATATCTCAGTACCTGTTGTGTTTGTTGAGGTAATCCCAATGGATATCCCATGATTGGAACTGAAAGAAAATGTGAAATTAAATTAAAATAAAGGGAAATAGAACATATATGTTATAAAATAGGACACTTGCATGATGGTGTCATTTACTACCACTACCTGAATTCCTTGAACACTTTCTTTTCTTCACTCAAAGTTGTTTTCTCACGAGTGAATACAAATTTGAATAAGAAAGAAAATTGAAAAGACATGTTGGTAGTGGTAGTAACATGACGCAATCATGCAAATGGCCTAAACTGGTTAGTAAGCCGCAATTATAAACTAATATCTCAACTCAGGGAGGGGATGAGAGGGTGTAGAAATGCTTCAAACATCAACAAAACATTAGTTTTGCGTAACCATGAAACAACCTCTGGACTGATAGAAGTAGGATATGACTACCTCACAGATCAGGTTTTGAGAAGGGAGAAAAACTAGAGTACTCAGAGAAAAACCCTTGAATCAAGGAAGACACCCAACAACTTTACTCACATTTGATGACCCAAGAGGTGAGAGGTGAGTGCACTACTGCTACACTATTCTCACTGAATAAATTATCACCAAGCAGTATAAATTAAGTCAAGACACATGGCTCATTGCATACCRTCATTTGGAGCTTCGGAAAAGAGTTTTGCGAATTGGTGTTCTCGTTTTCCCTATTCTTGCTGTTTGCCTCATCATAGTCGCGGATCTCGCCCCATAACTTAATCATACTGCGACGTGATAATGGCTTCAGTGAGAATATATTACCCAAGTATTAAAGCAAGTATTACCTGTAGGTAGCCCTGTAAACTGCATTGTTGTAAGACCTTGATGAGGGAAGCCAGGAGAGATTCCACCAGGCACGATGATAGGAACTTCCATTGCCTGTTTTCTTAATGGCTCACCAACAGACTGGAAAATGTATTGCAAGTAAGAGTAAGTAACTTTATACACAAGTTTTACTTTAATAAAAATATTTTTAATTCCTATTTCAGTTTCCTTAATTATTTTATAATTAAAAGTATTAGAAAATAAATTTCCTATTCTTGGTTTTCACCTACGTCATCATGAATTTCAAAAGGGTAAATTTGCTTTATCATAATATTGAAATAAAAGTTTTACAATCTTGTAAAACGGTGAAACCTCATATACTAGCCCAATTTTAAGGCTGTAAAGCATTTCGTTGTGGAACTATAGGCAGGTAAACATGACTCAATCTTTGGTTAAAATGTATGGAGTGGCCATCTTGGTGTTCCAAGTTGGTACACCATCATGATGAATGAAACTCCAAAGGCTTTAAATGATGGAATATTTAATATGTGACTATATTTCACTTAAATATACTTTAAATAGATATTTTAAATGTGTGTAAGGGAAAATCTTTCGACTAGAGTAAATTAGTTTAATATTTTCATTGCTATTTAGATAGACATGACGGTATTAGTGCGACATAAAACTCAACCTTCATAACTGTCGGGACCCAAATAACTCAAATTTTTTTCTTGTGACTTATAACACTGATTTCTAAAACATACTTGAGAAATGAATTTATACGATTTATAGTTTAGATTTTGATGTTTTGATGACATCATATGAAAACTGCAAATTTCTTGATTAGTAAGAAAACATTTTTTCATTCAAAAGAAGGACAGAAAAAGGAAAATTTATAAGAACCACAACAAAATGATCACAAATCAACTTATATCAAATTAAAATAAACTAAAATAAACATAAAAACTCAATATTACGAACATAAAAATATACAATAAAATAATATAAACTGATGTAGAAATGACATTCCACCAAATGGCCCAGATAAGATATTAAACATAACAGGATAAAATTCTAACTGATTTACACAGTACAATTCAGCCAAATGATTTTTGTTGGTTGGTTATTAACTCTTTTGCAAAGCAAGCAATAGCAAGCTATGGGTGTTAAGGGTAAATGAGGTCTAACTACAGTACAAGCACATAGCTATAAAGCAGAATAGTAGAGCATGGACCTATGTTTACTCCAAGCCACTTGTAATAAGTGAACACTTGTTCATTTTTCTCTTCCTGTTTTAATTCCATTTGAAATAACAACTGAAAAAAATTGTAATGCCCCAAATTTAATTTTCTACTAAGCAAAACAAGGGTTAGAGAAAACAAGCTTTTACACTATGTTTGGAAGATTTTTTTTTGTTACAAACACAATGCAGACAAAAAGTGGCTTTGGAAGAAAAACATTAGACCAAACCCTGGATTCTATACCAGCTCTGAAATAGCTTCATAAGCCCTCTTGCGGGAGCCTTCCTGCTAAGATGTGAGCAAGAGCACATGGAGAAAGTGCAGGCAGCAGTGGCGATGAAGTAAGCAGCAGCACCATGAAAGAAAGGGCAAAATGCTCAATCAATGCAAAGCAATATGACAATCAGATATCAAGGATGTAGGAGGTAGGAATCATGTACTGGTAAAACCTTCACATTTTATTGATACCTTGAAACAATGTCTGAGGTGATCAATGTCAGGGCATAGTAGCTCTCATATTGAATTAAAATTTAACATGCTAGGCTTTGCCGAGGGCAGAATCCCAGGGAAGAACACTCAACCTAACCATGCATGCTTATTATGAGAGCTGCATTTTGCATGCAATTTTTTGGGAAATCTGAGAAAGAGGAATGAAGTTCCCCTAGCCTCCCAGCTCTTACATCCATGATTATCTCTACAGTTGTACAATGATGTACCATCTACCAACTGAGTTGACCTTTAGAACAAACTCAAGGTCAACCAATCAGAATTAAGGATTCAACATCATATTTTGATAAGCATTTCCCATGCTTCTGCCAAGAGAATCTGTGAGATATGAATTTTTCATTCTTGAAATTTATCGTAAAGTTGAACTCATGGTGGAATTCTAGTTTATTCAACATGAGAAATCTACATCATACTCAGCCCCTGTTAGGAAAATGCTAACCAAAAATAATTGACCCATAATCTTTTTGGGGAATGCAGTCAACTCAGCTGGTGAAATATTCTATCTTGCCAAGAACAATAGATCATACATGATAGCAGATTTTGCTTGACTGTAAACAATCATGGTATAGGAGTGCCATACCAAAGGGCTAGAAATACAGTTTGTCAGTCACTGGTCATAATGACAGGCCAAATAGACCCCTTGCATGTGACGTCAAAACAGTTCAACCTGGAGGACAAAACAAAAGAATTTCAATCTCATGAGAATTGGAAATCTATTGTTATGTCCTCCAAATTGAGCTGTGTTCTGACACACTGCAATGGGTCTATTAGTTGTTACTCATTACTGGCTCAACATTACTGGTCAAAATGACTGGCAAGGCAAAGATCTGACTGGACAAGTTGCATTACTTGCCAGACATTGTCCAAAGACTGGCTTTTGTTTTTAGTCCTGTGTCAGGATCACTGCTGTGCTGTATCTTTGTTAATGAATGTTTACATTGTGCGTTCCGTATCACAATAACACCATGAGCCATGCTGTTTCACAGTCACACAAATTCTACCTTATTAAATGAATCAAGAAACAATCCAAATGGTTCGATAGACAGTAATTCAATGTTGAATTTTTGGAATATTATTATGTATGAAATTCGCTCATGCAAAAAATGTTCTTGGTATACATGTAGTATATGCAGTACTTTTGCTTGGGTGAGCATTGTTTTAAGCAAAAGGAAAGCAATGCAAGCACGCAATCCATGACAAATCCTCAGCTGACATAAGTGCGTTTACAACAGCACAGCTATGTGATTGTCATCAATCAATTTGGGCTTTTTTAACATTGCTGACAACTGCAGGTGCAGCTGGAAACACTAGGGCATTAATTGCTGCTGTAGGAGGATGGCTAAAGTGGGTCACATGAAATCCTACACAGGATCAAAAAATCTATGGAACAATCAAGAGATTAAAGTGCTATTACGACGAAAATCGCTCAAACTTGGATTCAGCTGAAACTTCCTAAAAATACTCTTTAAAGGTCCAATAATCACTGTATGAAGTGTTTTCTCGATA